CTGTGTACTGCCTACAGCGTCTTTCCTTTCGTCTCGTTTCCTGCGTACTGTAGCCCATTTTTCATTGCTCAGGGCATTGGGACTATTTGGAACGGTGATGTTTTTATCCACTAAAAGTGCATTGTTATCACTGTCAGTACCAAGTGGTATTACTCCCCTTGTTAATGTTAACGGCGATCTCACTTTTGCGTTGGTCACAGTCGGTTGTTTGAGGCGTCGCGTAACACCAGGTACTACACTAACACAATCGTCACTGTCAGTGACCATGTTTTCAGCGCATATGTCATCGTTTTTCTTGCAGGCCAAAGCCAATAGGCCCATAGCCTCCTGAATTAGTACCTTTCTATCCGTACAGCAGAACATACGAAGCCAATGCGAGTTAGGCTTCGAGCATCTTTTGTAAGCCGTCGGACTTAGGCGTGTACACATTTTGTGGCACCACTTCTACAGTCATCACACTGCATTCCTTACTTAACGGGGAACAAAATGATCACAATGTGAACACAAGTGTTAGTCTAGGAATAAAAAAAGGTACCTATGACAAAATTTAGCAAAAAAATTCAAACTTTAACCAAAGTACTTTTAGTTAAAATAGACCAAGAATGCTTTTTGGTGCAATAAGTACCAAAAGCAAGTATAATCACAACAAGTACAAAAATCACTGTACTTTTTGAAACGAGCGCGTTACAGAACCAGGCAGCCAGTTGCTCTGAAAAAAACCTCAATAATAACCATCCCTTAATATCCATGAAATCTTATATACAAGAAATATCAAGAGTACCACAAATAGTGATACCCACATCCTTTCAATAATTAAAAATGGATTACTGCACTATTCCATCACACCTTCAAGGCTGTACGTGGTGGTAGAGTATGATTGCTGTTTGCAATACGAAATTCTCCGCTACAAACAAACTCCACTTGTAATCCGTACCTAGGTCAGAAAAAACGACTAGTCAATTATTTTCGGCAAACTTTGAAGGTTGTATAAAGCAGCGCAGCATTTTAAAAGTCTCATTACCTCAAGGTCTTCAATAAAACTGCAACAGTCGTAAGTGATAGTAATTCCGTTCGTAGATGTGTTTCTCAGTCTGTGAGTTGTTTTTGAATATTTACAATTTAGTTCTTCTAAATACACTTCATATAACGCAGTTGGGTGAATGTATTTACTCTCTCTGTATATTCTGTAGTATTTTAGGTATTAAAAAAATCAAAGCAAATAAAATAACATGACCTTATTCACTTGCGAAATCATATTTGGGGTTACTGCTTTTAGCATCTGAAGTGTTCTGCTTCATTCTATGGGTTCAAATGGTTGCAACCATTCCGTACACATGTGTACGGAAAAGAAGCTTAAGCGAAATTTCGCTTAACTAACTTCTGTGTCTATTAACAGTGGATCATGAATACCTCTAAGCAGGAACCTAAGTATATTAACGAAAAGAGGAAAAAGAAATTGGTTAGTCCTGGTAAGGTACTATCCTTAGTCCTGAAGAAAATGTCAAGTTTTCTCCTGAGAAGTCGCTTGGACTAGCTCAGCCGGCAGCAGCTAATCGTCCACACTCAAAAATTTGCTTCCCATACTGGGTCGTGAACTTCCAGAAGCACACATCAATAATTTAAAGTCTAAAATCGTTAAGTCGACTTGACGATCGCCTTGTAGTGTCGGTCACTATGTTAAGCTCACATAACTTATTCTAGCTTCTGGACAGGCCAATTCGTCCATTCGACTTTAATCACGTCTTGACTTTGTCATTTATTTACCTATCAACCTTGATTGCTTTTATTTGAGCGTGTGTGTGCACTTGTCTGTGAATTATTCTTGTTGGACTACAAATGTCGATTCATGCTCGGTTAAATTAAATTGACTCACACTCTTTTCATGTGTGTTATTTTGATCCGCTCTCTTCTTTTCATCCATATGACTGTTCAAATCAATGAGCGTACAGAATAGGCGTATCCAAAAATCCATTCTCATTTGTCCACAGTCGTTCACAAGCCGAGAACAAATTACTTGTCAGCTGGCTATCGACTTTCCCATCGAATCATCAACGAGTGGAATTCACTACCCCAGCACGTGATTGAGGCTCCATCCGTCGACTCTTTCAAAAGAGAGTTGGATCAACTGAGAGGCCACCATTGCCAGGACTGACATAGGCCATCAAGCCTCCTGTCCTTTCCAAACTGAAACTGATATATGACTTATTTAATTCCGTTATTCACTAACGCAATTTAAGTCGATAATTATATTCGAGAATAGTCAGGATGTATAATTCGGTAACAATTATCCATTACAATCCAAATGGAGTCAGACATTGGGCCACAAAAACCTATAAAAACCCATAAGGTAAGACCTAATATAAATAATCCCCAATTGACAACCTCTCAATCCTGGCTCCCCTGGGGAGAAGCGATCACGCCGTCGTAGCCTTCAACCTTATCAGCGAATTTGAGCTGACAACAGGCAGTGGTACTACAAACCGTTGGATGTGTCAACTTAACAGGTCAGTGTACAGCAAGTAGACTGGGAAGCCCTCTCTCAACTTGGTGTAAACACTCATTGGGCTTTCATAATGTACCTGATCTTATGTGATACAAAGCGGTCTGTTCCGCCAACTGTCCCCAAAAGCTACGAGCAATCTACATTCATCAAGAATCGCACTTTGTGATTGCTAAGATGCGAAAGACACTACTGGGCGGAATATAGCCGAACTAGTGACAATTGTACATATAGGCAGTTCAAACAAGCAGGGAAGCGATGCACAATTGTGATAAGAGAAGACAAGCTTCAGTATCAGATAAAGCTACTAGGTAAATTTATCTGCAATCTGAAAATCTTCTTCCGTCTTGCGGCCTCCCTTCAACAAGTCAAGACCGATGTTTTCTTATTGTTAGGTCTTAATGTCCCAACAAACAACGACGGCGACACTGCCGACCTTCTGACAGAACAGTATCGTCAAACATTTCAACCGTCACATACTAACAACATCGATGATAGCTTCAACTATAACTTGACAGGACTCTCGAAAGTGAACCTGAGCGCTAACTTGGTTCATCATAACCAATCTCAGAGAAAGATGGACATATTATACATTCTCAATACAGGAGATTGGATCGATCGATAGGCAGAACACTTTAGGGATCAGTTCAACTGGCCTTCAGCCACACTTCGGTTTCCCACGATCTCTAGTCAACCTAAATGGCAAGTTAATGTAGGTCCTCCGTCCCTTTACGAAGTTGAAAAAGCCATAGGAAATCTGAAACGAGGGAGAGCAGCAGGTCCTGACAGGTTTACTCCTGAGAATTTTAAGGATGGTGGTCCAGTATTAGCAATGAGATTAACTGAGGTCTTAGGTAGAATTTGGGAACTGGACGTAATCCCATCTGACTGGTCTCAATCACTGATTGTGCCAGTCTATAAGAAAGGACAAAAGTCCTCTTGTGACAATCACAGAGGAATCAGTTTGACTAATATAGTGTCTAAAATATTAGCTTCAATAATACTTCGACGCCTAATTAAAGCTCGTGAAGAACAGATTAGAGAAAACCAGGCTGGTTTTCGACCTGGACGTGGTTGTATGGACCAGATATTCACACTACGTCAGGTTCTAGAACACAGACACACGTTCAGACGCCCCACAATAGTAGTATTTCTCGATCTTAAGGTGGCATTTGACTCTGTTGATCGTGAGGTTCTATGGCAGTGTTTGTCACTGGAAGGAGTACCAAAGAAGTACATCAACCTTATAAAGGCTCTCTACTCGAACACAACTGGTAGAGTAAGAGCTTATGGCGAACTGTCATCAGAGTTGATTACCTCAAGTGGTGTTCGTCAGGGCTGTCCACTCTCCTCATCTAAATTCCCAGGGGTTGAACTTCTACCAGGAGGTTCACTTGTTGACTTAGAATATGCAGATGACATAGTTTTATTTGGTGAAGACGCTGACAAAATGCAGAGTCTTCTGACCACTCTAAGCAACAATGCAAGCATGTTCGGGATGCGATTCTCTCCCTCGAAATGCAAAATGTTGCTTCAGGATTGGGTTAAATCCACACCCGAACTAGTGATATGGAGTGAAGTAGTTGAGTGTGTCGACCGCTTCACTTATCTTGGAAGTCTCATCAGCCCTTGTGGTTTGGTGTGTGACGAAATCTCAGCACGGATACAGAAGGCTCGACTAGCTTTTGCAAACTTGCGTCATTTATGGCGTAGGCGAAATATCCGTCTATCAACCAAAGGACGTGTTTACTGCGCAGCAGTTCGTTCCGTCCTACTTTATGGCAGTGAAACATGGCCGGTAAGAGTAGAGGATATCCGTAGGTTACTAGTATTTGACCATAGGTGTCTTCGAAACATTGCTCGTATGTCCTGGGACCATCGAGTAAGTAGCACAGTTGTTAGGAAACGGGTACTAGGTAAGGATGGCAAATCAATTGATAACATAGTGAAACTTCATCAGTTGAGATGGCTGGGACACGTGTTACGTATGCCCAACGACCGACTGCCTCGACGTGCGATGTTTTATGGTGTAGGAGTAGGTTGGAAGAAAGCTAGGGGCGGCCAAACCAAAACATGGCACAAGTCCATGAAGTGACTGACAAATGAACTGAACCATTTTGGTAGGTGTAGACTACCTGGTTGGGAACCGCGAGATAACAGCAACCGATGGTTAGAGACCCTGAATGACATGGCTCAAAATCGTTTGCAATGGCGCAGGTGCATCCACTCTGTGTTCTCCCAAATTCTAATCTTCTGAATTCTTCGTGTCCCTTTTTTCCTCTTTGCAAATCTATTTCACTGTATTATACTCTTTAAATAACATCTTCAAACCATAATCTTTCCGATTACTGGTTATACACTTATTACCTCTACCACTATGTGATTTGAATCGACAACTGCATCTCTGTGCAACTCGAACTGATGTACGTACGTACGAAGTTCTACGTTGTTACTAACTGACTGACTGCATCATAAACTGTACCATCTAAACAAGGACTTTCCTGGCCTGAATATAGTTCATTCTGCTATACTGAGGGGAGCGACTTCAATCTTGGCAACACTGCTTATCGTGATGTTCTCACATTCGCTTGGCTGGAGCATGGTGTCAGTAAATTGGAAGCTGGTTCACGTTACACCAATTTTAAATGGGATTAACGAAGAAAACCTTTAAGCTACCAACCGGTAGCTCATCTCTTAGTGCCCTCAAGCATATAGAGTCCCTGATATGCGACGGTATACGTTAATAGGCTGTTACCCATTCCTCACACTTTACAGTAATTATAGCACTAGGGTGCCACCGCACTTTGTACACTCCCAGTTCTGTACGGAGACTATGGATAGACTGGAAAAGCCAGTTAGCAATTTACCGCGACTATTGAGGGACGTTATATCTAGAAGGAACCAAAAATCGTCAATCTAGCAGCGTTTTCATGTTTAACTAATAAATGAAAATGTAATTGTCTCATTTACTAATTTTAGTGCTTGGAATATCTTCCTAGGTAAAATGTTGTAAATAATACAAGCTTCATAATAGTCTTCCGATCTACTCTACTGCAATGAAGACTCTTAGAAGAACACAGGACGTCTTCGAAATCGAGAGAAACATAGTTGTAGAACCAGAAGTCAAAAATTTAATGTTGGATCTTGAAGACTGGTTCAGTCTAATAGTAAAATCTGAGAATATACTGAGTTGGAAAAACCCTCGATCAACATTGCTTGTGATATTTGCAATCACTATTTTGTTTCTGTTGGTTCACGTATACGAACCACCGGTCCTATTGGTTATTGGTTGTTCAGGATTGCTTTTAAGCTTAATAGACTACTTCGGACCCTTAGTTTTGTCTAGGTAAGATCCACTTATCAAATAATTAACTAAACCGCAGAGTGTTCAATAAACCTCCAAGTTACGAGGATCACTGGTGTTATTGGAATTTTTGTAAACGTCTTGTCCACATGCGTCATGTACTGATCAACTTCTTTGTTTTTGTGCATAAAGTCCGATATAGAAACGCGACTCTACATTTCCTAACTAGTTCATCTCTTTTGTGCATAGTTGGATTTGTTGGACTACATATTAGTGATTTGTGTCTGGTTTATCTCTTAATACTCGTTTGCTTTATCGCACCAAATCTGCATCCTAAAGGAATACTAAAGGTAAGACTTTTCTCAATCCTTAACTTTAAGAAAGCATGCCTAAAAGCTTCTGTTTGCACTTGATGATTAGTTAAGTGGTTGTTTACTAACCAGTCAGACACACCATAAGCTCACTTAATTGTTAACAAAAAACCAGATCATCCTGATAAGTACGTTCACGAGACTCAACTAAAGTATCACAACATTCATTGGTCGTAACGAAATCTACTCACCATACATGATAACTGAATTGCCTTGTATCTCAAAGTGAAACCATATCGTAAATACTTATGTGATAAAAATCAATCTATGTAGACGCACATTTGAGTCTTGTGTTCCACTTATATGGTGAGCATGATTTTTGAATAAAGATAGTGAATTATTACCGATTAGTGAATATGCGATTAATACATACACGGCGTGAGTACACAACCATTATGAGCAGTGAGCGTTTTTTCCGCCAATGAAGAAATTATACAGTACCTGGTGTCAGTATTGCTGAATTAGCCCCCAAATGCGCTGTTACGGCTGAGGGTTGGGATAGTCTGCTATCCCTGTCTAAATGATCACATATAGTCAGGCGTATACAGCCACTACCAGTGAATTCGTACTCACTACATTCTCGCGGCACCGAAAAGCGAATGGCCGGTGCTTAACCTGGGTTGGTGGACACGGAAAGTTCACTTAGCGAAGTTGGAAAACCTTGATCGCGAACCGGTAGTGCACACGGGCTCCAGTATCCTGAGGGGACAAATGCCGTATGAACCAATTTTTGACCACCGGCTACTATAGGACTCCATCTATTGGCGTTGCTCCATTGCCTTGTGGATCAGATTTCTAGAACGAGGTCTCCGGGTGTGGTCCCGTAAGAAAACCACCTGCTTCGATCTGGGCACTCGTGCAGTATCGTGGTCCACACAAAAATCAAGTGACTTGTGTAGTACATATGTATTCGGTGCGCCTTTGTACCAATATTTGTGTTGAAAAAATAAATGTCACAATTGCAGCTTTAAGTATGTGACTTTGAAAGGCGCTTGTATGAGGTCTAGCAATACTACCCAACCAAAGAAACATGCAAAATCTGTTAGTTAAAGATGCTTTCAACACTAAACCATTGCATTTATATAACACCTATGCTATTTAATAATACACGCCCACTTATGACTTGTTGAACAGTAATGTTTAGTTGTGCACACTTGTTCACCGCACATAACTATGATCTTCATCGATTTGTAACTTTAAAAGTGACAAATCCTTTGTAAGATCCAATAATGATCTCTGGGTATTAGTTTGGACATTCCTATTCATGGCACATTCTCAGTGGTCGGTTGTGAAGAGATTCTAGCAGCACACTTTTCTTAAAGTACTTCTTAACGATGCACTAGAAACTCCACGACGAAATTACCCAGCTTGAAACACAACTGCAAAGTACCCCTAACCTTTTTAAAATAAGCTTATGATTTGTGGGAGTTCAAAATGGAGGCTTATCATAGTTTGTTGTTGAGAGAATATAAGCAACTAAGTAGTATGTAGTACATTCTTTTGAGGCCATATTGATTCTGATTAAAACTACAGTAACTATTCGACGTTTTCGGAGACTGACATCATTGTTCTTTTACTGTTCAAGGATGCCACTGGGACTAAAATCTTAAGATGCAACAGTCGCAAGCAACGTAACTTGCCTTACCATTTCTATATTAGGAAGATTGAGCTAAATTTATCTTATAAATGATTTTTACCGAGTTTAAAAACCTTCGGATAATTGTGAAAGGTGGAACAACTTTTCTTTTTACAGGTCATTGTTTGGATCCTCTGGTATCCTTTAACTATTCTTCGATCTTTCGCATCAAAATTTCGGCCAGGAATACCGAGGTTTTTTACTCGGACCCTGCGTGTATCAAACAAAAACACTGAGAAAGACCAGTGACACTATTTTCTTATTTAGTATTAAACACATAATGCTGCTTTTTCTTTAACTATTGTCCAACATATCAGTAAATCATTCAATCCAAGTTACTGGTTACATAAACTAATTTGTGCATTGTCTTAAAGTGCTTAATATGTATGTAGAGGATGTCGCGGATCGAAACCGATTACTTTGCAAGACATCCAGGACCTGAAGTGTCACTAAGTCGAGAAATATTCGTAAAAGTAACTGAAAAATATGTGACGTTAACATTGGGTTGAACTTACACAGAATAACCAAAAATATGTAACTACCACTAAATCATACCACTTGAGTGCAATTGGTTAATATGAGTTTATTACTCGAAAAACATAACAAGTTGAACTTATTCCCAAGATCACTTACGAATTGCTAGAACAGTACATGTTTGACCAGAAAGGGTTTTATTAGCAGGAACAACTCAAGACTGATCAAACAGTACAGAAAGATAAAAAGTGGTTATTTTAAACGCAGTTTAAAAATACACTATGCAGATTTTTACAGATGACATGTGTACACGAGTGAGAAAGTCGAAAGTAGTTGAGCTGAAGTGTGTACTATCTTCGGTTACTTAGCGTCTACCCTGGTGCCGACGAATTATTTGGTCAGAGCGATCTATATAAAAAAGTAATAGTAGAATAACATAAGAAGCTTGTGGAGATTGTTGAGTCTTCGCAGATCACGTCACGCATTGATCTTAGACAAGCATGGGGTTTCTGAATGCGATAATATTTAAGGCAACCAACTCTAAATTAATGCAACATGCTTTTGTTTAAATTAGTTGTAGCATAAAAGATGATTCAACTTTTCCAAACAATAAACTACCTTTTTTAATTTGAGGCTTGTTTTTTATTAGTGCCAGGTATTCGTTCTCGACTGCATTTTCACCATCATTTTCGACCACTTTTGAAGACTTTTTGGCTGGCTGTCGTTTTTGAGCAATTGAGGTGAACCAGTGCCATATACCAATTAGAATTGCTATACTCAAGGCAATTACTAAGATAACCAAGAAAATCAATTCAGTGTCTACACCTTCTTCGATTTCAAACAACTGTAGGGAACGATTACAAAGTATAAATAACTTACGTTAACAGTTTGATTAAATAACTTATGAGCATAATAAATGTCATTATTGTCATGATAGTAGACAACAATAGACAAGTCAAAAGATCGACCAGCTAATTCAGGAGCGGGTTTGAATCTGTAATAAAGGGAAGTCTAAAAATTATTTGGTAAACGGAACCAAACAAACCTCCTGACCGGGCTCTAATGTCTCATGGAGGCGTTGCTTGGTAAAGTTCTGAATGTGGTAGTCATAGTACATAGGATAGTGAAGTGCTCCTTCTATAAAATCTAGTTTAAATTGTTCACTGTTTGTCGGGTTGGTATTAGCCAAGGAAGCCACAAGGGATGAGATTTTTCCGACGGGCAAGTTTATTTCACGACGTCCAGAGTAAAGACCATATGGAGGTTTACTGAGGGCTACCAAGACACCAACAGCTGGGGATCCCTTGAATCTATCGTCTTCATTTGTTACAGAAGGTAAGAGCGCGGAGTCTTCTTCAGACAAAATAGTTGCGTCCTCGGCAAAAGAATTAAGTACTTGAAAGTAGAAAGTTAATAAATTAAGTCAGAGATCCAAACAACACGTATAAATTATAAATATTGCTTTGATTATGACCAGATAGATATATCATGTGGTAAGTATTCTGCACTAGTCTCAAAAGTAATAACTTTTTAAATGTTCCAAGGATGTTCATACCACAGGTTAATTGAACATATTCGATGTACAGACTAGGTGCAAAATATTACGTTAAAGTGGCTGAAGATGACTTGAATTAGCAACCAACCTTTAAAGATGAGGTGGATCAGTTATCACTTGTTTTTGTTATTTGGAAGTGTACACGAATTCGCTGTCTGAACTACATTCTGGAAATTAGGTTTGAAATATGATGGTAGAGCTATAATACTTAACAATCGCTTCTGAAAGAAATGGCCACTAAGAAAGCTGTTTACCCTAATATTGCTTTCATCAGCTTGATCTTTCTTTGAATACGTTAATATGGCATACGATAGTAACACAAACAATCTTCCCTAGTAATTAAACATTTATACTGATGAGGTCAACTTGACGTTCTTCAGGTTGGTTCGATGTTGCGATACATTCAATCTATCTGGAGACGCATCGAGCATGGTAACACTTGATAACGCCAGCGAACAAACTAGGTTTTCTGTTAGTACTAAGAAGTTCCTAAAAGCCAGGCTAGGGATATTTTTGAATTGCTGCTTTTTTCTAGAAGCTAATTGGCAAGAACGATAACGAACATCTGTGTCACATTCGGGTCGGACAATTCTATAGTTTCCCAAGTGTTACACAATTTTGTGTAGAAATGTATATTCGACTTTTTTGCGTTGTAGAAGGTGGACTATTTAAAAAGGATAGTGGTATTTCAATCAATGAATAAATTCTGAACAAACACCATAACATATCAAAGATAAGGTCTCTGTAATCAGTTCTGAAAAGTTGACAAATTTTTTTACTCACATTTGACTAATCTCACTGCAAAAGACTAGACTGCATTGAAAAAAATCATAGTGAGTGTAGTCTTTATAAATCTTAGTAAAGCCTCGGACAAGTTCTGTTTTGCGAGTATTAGAGTGAAGCTGGAAAGCCCCAGTATCGGTTGTACAGTTAGATATGAGATTAGTTACTGTCTCAAAGATAAGTAAATTGCGAGTGAAAGGTGACATCAGTCAGTAACAATGTAGAACTTCGTACGTACGTACATCAGTTCGAGTTGCTACACCACATTAGCACAGAGATGCAGTTGTCGATTCAAATCACATAGTGGTAGAGGTAATAAGTGTATAACCAGTAATCGGAAAGATTATGGTTTGAAGATGTTATTTAAAGAGTATAATACAGTGAAATAAATTTGGAAAGAGGAAAAAAGGGACACGAAGAATTCAGAAGATTAGAATTTGGGAGAACACAGAGTGGATGCACCTGCGCCATTGCAAACGATTTTGAGCCATGTCATTCAGGGTCTCTAACCATCGGTTGCTGTTATCTCGCGATTCCCAACCAGGTAGTCTACACCTACCAAAATGGTTCAGTTCATTTGTCAGTCACTTCATGGACTTGTGCCATGTTTTGGTTTGGCCGCCCCTAGCTTTCTTCCAACCTACTCCTACACCATAAAACATCGCACGTCGAGGCAGTCGGTCGTTGGGCATACGTAACACGTGTCCCAGCCATCTCAACTGATGAAGTTTCACTATGTTATCAATTGATTTGCCATCCTTACCTAGTACCCGTTTCCTAACAACTGCACTACTTACTCGATGGTCCCAGGACATACGAGCAATGTTTCGAAGATACCTATGATCGAATACTAGTAACCTACGGATATCCTCTACTCTTACCGGCCATGTTTCACTGCCATAAAGTAGTAATAGTGGTAGTAGTAAGAAGGGTGATATGCCTTCATGGAAGTTTGTGAAGCACTGCAAAAGACAATTCTAGAAACGTTTTCTTCTTTACTATACGTAAATGACCTAGCCAAAATAGGGAAGCCATCGGTTTTATTTCTTACACACAGCATAAACATTTCAAAACGCATAAAAATTGAGGATGATAAGTTGGGATCACGAAGAGGTTTGAATGAACCAGTTAGCTAAGTCAGTGGAAGCGGACTTGGACGGAAGTGTAGCAACGAATGTCGACCAACGCGACGTTTCATGTCACTACCTAATAGATGGAATACCTTTAAATAAGGCTACGAATTATAGTAATTAAATTACCGTAGGCAATGACACCATAACTATGAGTAATTGTAAAGCGGCTGCAGATAAAGGGTCCCGAATCTTGTGAGCTATACATGAAGCGTTTTGAAATTAGGAAGGGATGTTTGGAACATTAATTCGAATACAATAGAGTTTGCAATATAGAAAATAGGAATTAAGGGATAAGCACCTCTCGAAGAGACCACGATAGTTCCCGAGCTCCCAATTTTGGGGAAATGGCACAAAATTTACCCTTAACCTTGGTCAAGGTCATTTGACTCCGGGAGCTTCCCCAAAATTGGAAGCTCGGGTTGTCTTTTAGACCTACCGTATGAGCACAGACTGAGACGTTTCAACCCTCATTGATATCTTATCATGTTAAGAAGTGGCTTATCGTTTAAGTAAACAAATAGTTTACTGGTTGACGACCTATGCATTTATATCGAACCTCTAACTGTTATTTATGACTTATCATTTAGGAAGACAATTTCGGAAATTCTAAAAACTAAGGTCAGATGACTAACATCTGGAGTTTTTTTTCCTCAGACTGAACCGTAAATTACTGAGATTCTATGAGTATGCAATATCAGAGACATATTTGATGCGTTCATAACGAGAATTAACATCGATTACTTGACCACCTATCCTCATCCTAGAAATGTGGAACGTCAAGTTCTAAAAACAGTTAAAGTGGTTATCAAGAGCAATAACTGAGCCTGGTTTTAACAGTAAATGTGGAAGTTAGTAAATAGTTTGAAAACGTCTTAACAGTGATATATAGATAACTTACTATAATTGCTACATAGAAGTAAGATCCATGAATAATATGCAAAGTTACAAGACAACATGATTAAACTGATGCATCGAAGGACGTCATCAATACGTGTCGCAAATTTATTAATTGGTCGATTAAAACAAAATAACATTTTCTTGTAAACGCGTTTTTATTTATTCAAATTCATAATAAAGTGTTTTTACTCGAAGGTTGAAATAAATTTGCAAACACCATATAGCGCTAATATTAACTTCTTGTTAGTGAGGATGTCGTACGCCTATCTATTTAAGTATATAATTATAGGGGATACAGGTAAGCACAAATTACTCATCCCAATTATTTGAAATTCATCTTATGTGATGGGCTTTAATCACACTAATTCCTGCATTAAAACCAGTGGTACAGTTGTGCGTTCTGAGTTTCTACGTTGATTGAATTATGTAGTTGACATATTCATAGACCTAATTTGTTCTTACTGCATACCATTGAACCCAGAAGATCTGCAAGTTTTCCTTACATGCTGATTTGTTTTTTCTACCGCGATTAGTGTTTGCAAACACATGTTTATTTAGAAAAGGTGACGAATGTGACAAAAAGTAACTGAGTAATGGCCAAAATATGGTTTTGAATTCCTTAACCGCATACTCAACTTCTTCTCAAACATCTGTTGGTCAGGTCTAAGTGTCAGATATCTGCTTAGATTCTACGCTGTAAGAAACTCTGTAAAATCTCATTACCAATGTACAATAATAAATAGTTACTTTCAATTGAAATTTATCGATGTATCACTAACATCTTGATAAGGCTTAAAGGATCTTATGAGTCAGTGACTTGTGGTTTTCTTAGGTCCAGTTGAAAATCTGGTTTTCCAAATGAAGAATAGGTTTTTGTTAAATGCCTTTTTCTCATGCAGTGCAATGTTACGTCTGGAGTCATTCTTGCGTTACTACCGGTCTTAAGCTCAGATGAAAGAAGAGAGTCGAGCATGGGGTTAACTGGGTAAATGATTTGAACAATGCTCTCCTGTATTGAAAAAGTCAAGAAAACGTTATTATCTTCGCTTACAGGAAATGTCTTTAAAAAAACTGGACTTTATATTATTGTACGCGTTCATAGATAGTGGATTTAGTTCCATACGGAAGTAAGAGTACAAAATCGTCGTAAGTTTCGAACTCCAACCACTTAGTCATAAGAAGCTTAGGGCCTGGTAGAAATGTTTGAGATGCTAATCCTTTTCCACAACAGGAGGGCAAGTTCTGAAATTAGACCACCGAAACATTTTTAATGCTGGCGATAAGGTGTGAAAGATTTGCGGATACGTCAAAAACTAATCACAAAAGGTCACATAATCATCCTCGTGTAACTCCCCTGGCTTTTACTATCATGCCTTTATTTTGGCAAGACTTACACTGTTAATTCAGTTTTTGTTCCAAGTGTGGACAATCAACTACAATTCCTAACTTAATTTGTGCGTTGCTTCAAGTCATCTGGCATCACAACAACACAATAAGAGGAAATTTACAAAATAAATACCAAAGACGTTGACACAATCATAGTGTTAATGAAGGTAAACATTGAGGAATGTACTCTCAAAATAATGAATGAAATAAAAAACGACGTCAATACTCAAGACTTCGTTTAAGATTGAGGATGAATGCATTTGCGCCGCCGCAATCGATTTTGATCCATGTTACCTAAAATCTTCAACCGTTAGTTCAGTCATTCAGCTACAACGTAGGACCAGGCACATATATGCATCGGTCCAAGTTGCCATACCTCATTAACACAACAAGATGGACACCGGATTCATAAAGTAGTTAATTCAGAGGTGGTAATATGTAAAAGAAAGTTTGTAATAAGGATATAATACAGGAAGAAAGAATTAGTTCGTAGAATGAAAGATATGAAGTTAGGGGCTGCCAAACCAAAACGTGGCATCAGTGCTTAAAGTTACGAGCTTCTAGTCTGAGCCATGTCGGTAGATGCAGACTACTTCTACAGCACAACTAAGTAGTCTGCATCTACCAACATGGCTCAGACTAGAAGTTCGTAACTTCAAGCACTGATGCCACGTTTTGATTTGGCTCCCCCTAACTTCCAACCATCCCCAACACCGGTTAGCATTGCACGTCGTGGTAATCGGTGTTCAGTCATACGCGACACGTGGCTCAACCATCTCAGTAGATGAAGATTCACAACTTCATCAACCGACTTACCATCATTCCCTAATACCCTGTATCTAACCTCACTATTACTTAACCGGTCTTGGTTGATTATGAACACAGTGGTCTTGAGTGCTGTTAGAGGTATGAGGGCGGTTATCACTTTCTGGTTTCCCACACCGTGTAAGGGTCCTTCTGAAGGTACCTGGAAAGGAAATTGGATTAGAGGTGGTCTTAGTGATCTGCGGGTGTGACCGCAGTGCCCAAGGGACAACTGCTTGAGGTCGGTCACACACGACCTTTTTATGGGTAATTTTTGTGTTAGCTCCGTACTTGTTGAGACCTTACCACCGGAGACGGATATCCGTGGGATAAGGCGAGGTGTGCATTTTTAGGGACGACCTTTTCTAACCCCACCCGGTGATCCCAGCAGATGTCAGCAATATTTCTAAGGCATCTGTGGTCAAATACTAGTAGCTTACGAGTGTCTTCTACTCTTAATGGCCATGTTTCGCTGCCGTAAATTGAAACAGAACGAACTGCCGCGTAGTATACTCATCCTTTTATTGATAGACGGATATCTCGCGTTCGCCATAGGTGACGTAAGTTGGCAAAAGCCAAGCGAGCTTTCCGAATCCGAGCTGAAATTTCGTCAGACACCAACCCATTAGGGCTGATCAGACTTCCAAGATAAGTGAAGTTGTCAACGCGTTTGACTACTTCACTCCCTATCCTTAGTTCAGGTGTTGATGCAGACCAGTCCTGAAGCAGCAGCTTGCATTTAGAGGGAGAGAAGCGCATTCCAAACATTCTGGCATTGTTGCTTAGTGCTACCAAAAGACTCTGCATTTTGTCAGCGTCTTCACCAAGCAGGACTATGTCATCTGCATGTTCTAAGTCGATAAGTGAACCTCCTGGAAGGAGATCAATACCTGAGAATTCAGTAGACGAGAATGTTATTTCCATCAGTAGGTCTATGATGAAATTAGAAAAAAATGGAGAAAGTGAACAGCCTTGACGGACACCACTTGAGGTTGCAAAAGCAGATAACAGTTCGCCATAAGCTCTGACTCGACTGGTAGTATTCGAGTAAAGAGCCTTCACAAGGTTTATGTACTTCTGATGTACGCCTTTCAATGACAGACAGTGCCACAGAATCTCGCGGTCTACAGAGTCAAATGCTGCTTTTATGTCGAGAAAGACCACCATTGTCGGACGCCGATAAGTATGCCTGTGTTCCAGAACTTGACGAATGGTGAATATGTGGTCGATGCAGCCACGACCAGGTCTGAAGCCGGCTTGGTTCTCTCGTGTTTGCAGTTCACGAGTCTTAGGCGTCTTATAATTATCGAGGCTAGTATTTTAGATACTATATTAGTTAAACTAATCCCTCTATGGTTGTCACAGGTTGATTTTAACATGTCTTCAGATAAATTGTTTTTGCGCCCATTGTACCGAGTCTCCACTTTGAACACAGCTGATGACAGAATTATTCCCTCACTATTATCATATACACTACTTAGGACATTATGCATGGAATATAGCTTTTCAAGAAGAAATAATAATAATGGGAGAAAGGGTAAATAAAAGTAGTGATCTTGGGTGAAAAATATTCTTCTGTTGAAAGCGTGTAGAATGTTGGCTACAGCACAACCAAAGAATTTTTAGTTGAAATCTAGGAGTTGGACGTAATCCCATCTGACTGGTCACAGTCAATGATTGTCCCAACACATAAGAAGGGGTCAAAATCATCTCATGATAATCGTAGAGGGATTAGTTTGAGTGATATAGCGTCTAAAATACTAGCCTAAATAATTATCGGACATCTAAGACTCGTGAACTGAAAACATGAGGAAATCAGACATGGCCTTCGCTGCATCGACCACATATTCGTCATTCGTCAGATTTTAGAACAGGTATGTTTATCAGTCATTGAAGTCACTAACTTCTAGTCTGAGCCATGTTGGGAGATGCAGACCACTTGGTCGGGGTCCGCGTGACTATCGTAACCAATGGTTAGAGACTGTAGGTGGCATGGCTCAGATTCGACCACAATGGCGTAGGTTTATACACTCTTTGTCTCCCCTTAAACTATGAGATTAAAATTGCTTCATACTTTTTTTTATGAAATAACTCTTCTTGTACTATAGCCTTATACACAGTCTTTTATATATTACTGCCATTGAAGTAACTGCACCTATGAATTTGGTATTTATCTTGTTCTAATGAGATGTGGAAACTTGGACCGAAGCATCTATGTACCTGGTCTTACGTTGTAGCTGACTGACTGGGGCTATTTAAAAATTTTTATTTAAGTTTGCCGAAAGTACTTAATTTATTTTAAGATATAAACACTGCTTCAAACAAACACCGAAATGTGCCACACAATAAGAAAATGTGACTGATAAGATAGAAGAATAAATGAATAAAAGAAAGTGATGGGAGGAACTATACAGTTAAGAAAAATGCAACCAGAAAAAATCCCTTAAATAAGTCCATCTCACTTTTACGATTAATGTGAAATAAAATTACAACATTACTCTCATAAGTCCCTGCTGTGAGCCGTTTCTTATAGCTCTTCAAGCCACTGAGTTGCGTCATCTCTCGGACCCCAAACAGGGATTCGCAATGGGCCGATAGATACCGGTTCTACACAACTACTTTTCATTCCACGGGATAATGTCTTTAACTGACCATCACCGGTTTTTTCAACCAGTCCAGCATCGGTAAATAATACATGATATGGAAATTTCTGTACTGATCAACCCACCCAAGCCAGTGTTTCAAGATGATGACACCCATTAAGTTGTTATCATTGCACCCAGGCTCATTGCCGAACAGTGGTATAACTAATACATTGTTGCTACCGAATGCCCTCAGCTCGGAACAGAGATCAGGTCCCACCAGTAGAGAACAGCACTACCTCCGTGTTGTAAATTCAACCTTTTAAAATCAGACTGACATTACAACAACATCGAAGTTGACCTAGATTTACGTAAACAACTCTACCTTTCGCGACATGCAAATTAATCTCATTTCACACATCACCTCCAACTCGTATACATCTACCATGATAGACGGACTTTTCGACTATTTTTAGCGGTTCACCACATGGGAGCTAGTGCAGATTCATGGTCCTTCAAGTCTTCGAGAAATAGTTTGCACTTCAATTATACAAAGCACACATCAATCAGCAAATAATTGGGGGTCCTTTGGATAGTTTGCGTATCATCTGACGGTAAGACAATGTCATCCATCTACTCAAAGTCAAAAAGTTTACCTCCATTGTTACTACCTTGAATTTACCTCTGAAGTTTTGTTTTTATGTCTTTTTGTTGTTTGTGTAGCAAATATTCAGATTTTCTTTTAGATTGAGGTAATTTTGTAGTAAATTACAGCTATGACTGTTCTTGTTAAACATTTCTTTAGGCGTTGGGAAGTCATGTTTACTATTGCAGTTTACTGACAAGCGATTTCAACCAGTTCATGATTTAACTATCGGTGTTGAATTCGGGGCTCGAATGATCAATATAGATGACAAACAAATCAAGTTACAAATATGGGACACTGTTAGTGATATCTTTTTAAGTTTAGTTCTCTTTTCAGGCTGGACAAGAATCGTTTCGATCAATTACTCGATCTTATTACCGTGGTGCAGCAGGTGCTTTACTAGTATATGATATCACCAGGTAATTTGTTTAATTTTCATAATTTGTTTTCTACAGAAGAGAAACATTTACTCATTTAACTACCTGGTTGGAGGATGCTAGACAACATTCAAGCTCTAACATGGTTATTATGCTGATAGGAAATAAAAGTGACTTGGAAAGTCGACGCGATGTTCAAAAAGAGGAAGGTGAAGCATTTGCCAGAGAACATGGCTTAATTTTTATGGAAACATCAGCTAAAACTGCCGCTAATGTTGAAGACGCCTTTATTGATACAGCGAAGTGTATTCATGGAAAAATCCAGGAGGGCGTTCTTGATGTCAATAACGAGGTAAGTTTATTCTTGCAATCAAATTATTAATACTTCTATGTTTACCACTGTTGACAATTTAAATAGAGTTTTTATAACAGATTTCAGAAAATCTAGTGTTGTTAATATTATTTTAAAGTTTAACTGAATATCTGGAAGTAATGTCAATGCCAATTTTTCCTGTATTTAAATAATTAAATACAGTTCCTTCGGTTATTAAAGAATGATATTAATACGGGTCGAATCTAAGCAGGACATACTACTTTGTCAATTACAATGTAAATTCTGTGTATCAAAGAATACTACTAAATATAAATCAATGCTTCTATACTTAGAACTGATTTGGGATTTTAAATAATTTTCAGTTGTATTTTTGTGGCCCATTAAAACTTAATGAATGTACACTAATTACTAGAAATTAGGTAAATAATTCGTGCGTTTCGTCCTGTACTGAAAAAGTTCTGAATTTTGTCATATCGGTGAAATATTCTTAGAGTGAGATTATTCTTTTGTACTAAGGATATCTTGTATCATCTCCCTAAAAATCATTGCCTGAGTTTTAAAATCTCTAAAAAACAAAGATTAAGGCTGAGTGAAAATTTAAGTTAAACTAGATTACGGTCTTCTAGATTACCAGTTTAATCCTATGCGTGTAATGTACAAAACCTCTCAACTCAGGTAGTTTATTCTACTAGTCCATGTTTTCTCGAGTCATATCTTCTATGCTTAAGCTTTTCTACTACCACTAATACTGTTAATACTTATACTATTTCGGCACCTTGCTGTGCTGATGTTGTGTGGTAATTGACGTGTCAGAATGAAGATAGGAAAAAAAGTCACTCAGAACTGATTTGCGGACTATTGTTATTTATGTTCTTATTGTATAATTACTAAGTAACTGGAATACTATGTTTATATATTCCGTTTAATTTACTAACTATTATTGCACTGTATATTATTCCTATTTTACTGCCAAAGGATTATTCACAGCTTGCCCTATTCAAAGCCACTTTTGATTTGTTTATGTAAGACTGTGATTTTTCATTTTATGATGTGATGTGGTCCACTGTATTAAACCCACGTATGTTTGGATTGTAACAGCACTAGAAGTTGTCTGCTAACTACTTGGGTTCAAAGCAAAATATGGAGTATCGTACACGAATATTGGGCCAATATGAGCTCAATTTGCGTAGTCTTAAGGTTAACTGCGCGAGTCAAAAGAGTAGCTATTCAAGTCTAGGGGAGCTAGGTTATAAACGGTATAGTAGATGCAGGATATAGAGAGAGTTCCACATGTGAAATCGATTAGTATCTCAAACCAAAATAGTAACTTCAATGGATGCACATATACACCAGGTTCTATGTTACGTATTGCTGACTGATTGACTGTAACTACTACGAATCATCATCCACATAATGTTCACGCATATCACATGTTTCCAATTAGGCAAAAGTCCGGCTGTAAAAGTTCGTATCCACAACGCGTCGCTGAGAGCAGTTTTGCTCTATACTTGTGAAACCTGGCCTCTCCAAGTTGAGGACGTTAGACGACTTTCTGTGTTTGATCATCGTTGTCTCCGAAGGATTGCTGACAACCAGTGGCAACACCATGTTAGTAATGCACGGGTTCGGCAGTGTGTGTTCGGGCTCAGTGACGATAACTCGATTGGCGTCACCATCCTGAAGCATCGACTTCGGTGTCTTGGACATATTCTACGAATGTCGTCTCAGAGAATTCCTCGTCGTGCATTATTTGCCAACTCGGACTGGTTGGAAGAAGCGGAGAGATGGTCAGTGTATGACATGGTGTCGTGGTATGAAAGAAAGCGGCAAAGGGATGGCTTCTGTTGGTCCTTCATGACTCCCTGGTTGGGGTCCTAGAGATGATGCAACATAGTGTCTAGAGACGTTATCAGATATGGCTCAGAATAGAAGCCAGTGGTGATCCTGCTGTAATCTTCTTTTACTACCACACTACCTTACACCAATCTCTTCGTTATGGTTTTCTTTTCTTTACGCTCCTTACCTTTTTTTTCTTTTCTCCTCGAATTCTCATTGTTTTGTGTGGCGCATATTTATTGGCGCTCTCTTGTACCAGTATTTATGTGTCCAAATAAATAAATAATCAATTGTCTAAGACTTGACTGTTCGTTTACACACTAATCACTCTCTGTTCTCATTCTCTTCTCTTCGATCTTCTTAACCTTCTGCCGCTTAGCGTTTCACTCTCAATAGGTGATACATACTACTTATATCTGTCAACATCAGTAGCACACATCGCCGGGACTACTTCCAACTTTCCAAAAAAACTTACTTAAAAACTGTCTGCTAGAATGGATCATACCTAAATGCTTCCAAAGTGATCTACTAAGCTATGACCTGTTTCCTCAATGTAAAGGCTAATTACAAAAAATTAGAAATAACGTAGGACCTAGCACAAATGATTGCTGGTAAAAGTTGACACGCCTCAGATCGGTACAGTAAGCATGAATGAAATGAACTAAAACGGAAGAGACAAAGAACTAAGTAAAATGGCCGAAAGTAACGAAAGTCCTGGAATTAAAAGTATCGAATGATAGTAAGTTTCTAATTCACAGAAAGTGAGTGAATAAAAACATTCCGTCTCTGGAATAAATTTTTAGTTATCTCATCTAATATCACTAACCGTAAATGACTGTTATCTCGTGAAATTTAACCAGGAGATTCATACCTTCCTATCGGGTCCATCACTCTTAATCTTTTCCTGTTATCATAAGTTTGTTAACCATTTTATATTGTCACTTTAACCGCCTTGAAAGAGTATTATCTAATATTTGAAACTAAAGTCATCAAACCGCAGCTTAACATAGAATTGGTTATCATAAAATCCTTCAAGAGACCAACCTAAACGACTGAATACTACGAAATGAAAGGTGATGTACTCTGTTTTGAACCATAAATTGCATAACGGTACTAATAATACTTGGCTCCCTTAGCCTAAGTAGATAACGCGAGATTCTATCCTGGAATCTGTTGGTTGAAATCAAAGTTCTTCAACCACCAGGTCACCACGCAGTTATAGAACATGACTTGATATGCGATGATAATTACCTTAGTTACTAATTACATGTATCTTATTTGATCTACATTAGAGACTAGCTATGTGGGATAGTGAGTAGTGAAAAATATTCGGCAACTTAATTCAAGTTGGCAATTCACTAACTCCTAGTTGGTTATTCCATATCGGTTGTTGAAACATCTAACAAATAAATTAAGTGTTACAATGTTAAACCCTATCTCAATTCACGTTCTGTTTAGGTCTTCACTCATTTTGCATGAATATCGACAACCTAGTGGTATATATGGGTAAAGCTTAATCTTTGACAGCATTTTCAATTCCCAACAGTGTTCTTCCTTCTACTTGTTTTGTTTTTTACATTATTTTTCAAGGCAAATGGGATTAAACTTGGACCTCATCATAACCCGGTAGGTGGAGCATATAATAATAATAACATGACAAATCGTACTTCTGGTGCCGGTTGCTGCTAATTATCGATAAATACTATGTGTTGATGGATCCTTTATGGGTTTTTTGTTTTGATTGTTAAGAGAAGAAACCTCGGTAAGACAATTTGAAAATTAATAATAATAACAGAAATAAATATCGTGTTCGTTTGTTTGCACTTATTGTTTCCACCCCCCGTTACATTTTGAGTAATTCCTATAATCCATGTGATAATTATGTGCAGCTTGGCGATTGATTCATTCTGCTTACGTACATTCTATTTCTTTTTTCTGTCATCATGTTATCTTGTCCCCCAGTATCTCTGTACTCCACTCCCTTTTCTTTCGTCTTCAATGTCTATTTCCTTAGTCTTTCTTTCATATCTATCATGTTCGACAATAACTACACAAATATCATTGTAACTCATCAACTTCAATCATTGCTCATTATGCAAAATCAGTGACCAATACATTTTCGTTTGTTTTGTTCACATTCAATAAAAATTATCTGTCTATTGGACAATATTTCTCATAATATAAATTAATAGAGAATTTGTTTGTTATACTCGATTATTAATCGGCACATACCGTTTATTCTTGTTTTGTTCTCAATCTTTTTTCATGATACATTTGATATGTACACTATCTCTCTCTCTCCTTTAAATATACAAATATCTTATTAGGAAATTCAGTAGGTGGAAATTAATTGCTGTTTTGGTGATCAACTTTTTAATCTATGACACACTAATCACTACATTCATAAACTTGGTTTTAAAAGAGAACAAGTAAATAAGTGTGATACCTGTGTGTTCATTTGTTCTGTATTCGTTACATTCTTAATTCGAAGAAAAAGCTAATTAGTAATTTAATTACAAATATCTTTGTCCACTTGATGTTTTGTGTATGTTTACCCTGGAATATTTCACTTTTTCACTGTCCAAATACAGTTTCAGAAGAAAAACTACACATACACACTTATGAACATGTGAAACAAAGTATTCTATATATTTCTAACATGTGTTAATTGTGGTGAACTATTGCTTTTTTGTCTCTCTTCTAATAATAACTTTTGTTGTTGTTGTTGTTGTGTATGCATTTGACAGCGTATATTTCATCTCATTTTGAAATTTATGTTATTTGGTTATTTGTTCATTTGTTATTGTTTTAACCGTCGGGGTATATACATATTGTAAAAATGGTCTACTGTGTACACCGATGGTGTTTAACTGTTAAAGAACTAATCATCTTTCAACTAGTAGGTCATAGATTAAAATTCAACTGTATTTATTCCAATTTATGTAGCCGGGTTGTAATTTTATACCTCAGATAAATTATTAAACTTGAAAGTTGGCTAATTACATTAACATGAGCTTGGTAAGCAGGTTGCATCAAATTAAATTATTAAGTGCGTCCTGAATGATATTACTGAGTGACCTTACCATCGAAGTATATCTTAATCGTGCTGTTGTTAAAATAACTCATGATGAGAATGATGCAGTACTTTTATGTATGTCTAATTAATGCGCCGAACTTTAAACTGCTGTCTAGTATAATTAGCTCACAAATTATAGGTATGATTTACAGTCAGAAATATGGAGTTGAACGTGTTTACTTAGTTGTCCACTTGCATTTTATCAATCCTACTGTTTTAGTGATAATTTTTTCTAGTTCCCAGTGTTTAATTGAAGAAGTTGTCTCAATAGAGCATAATATGTTTTATAAATAAATGACTAGGGTGTTTAGATGTGAATCCACCTTATTTGTGTCTAACTATAGACATATCAATCGATTATAATTAGAAGTCTCGCTATCCGTTGTATCTAGCTTCAACAGAAATTGTCGTTACAACACTCATTTACTAGATTAGCGGTTTTGGCACCCGGTTAGTATTATTAACTAAAAAAAAGAGACTAAGTAAAAAAGTCAACATTTTTAGGTGTTAATTGATGAGGTAGAAATTCTTACATTTCAGATTTTGATTTTTCCTGTTATATAGTCTAGATAAATTTTCCCAATTTCGAACCAATTAGCACAGATTCCATCATACTTCCACTGGAGTTTTAGGTTGGATAAAATTGTGTATCGAGAATAGTATTTTTGGCAAAGACAAATTACTGGCAATTGAAGACCAGATTTCGTCTTCCGGTAACCCTGTGCCTCATTGAGACATCATGTACTACGTACCGCAATCGCATTTACGGTTAATTCGTATGTTAACAGTGCAAATCCGTTCTTAATGTTGTACTAACAAATTCATTCACCACATGTAAAGTGTGGCATAGTTTTTCCTATGATCGAAAATTATCCTATTAACTACATAGAAAATCGCAAACTCTAGCCATATTTCATCGCGTTTCCGTATTATGATGACTAGTGTAATGTTAACCTACAGATAACAGCACGTATTATTTTCTTAAGTTATTTTTATAACTACAATTGCCTACAAGTAAACTAATATTTGACAATTTTCACCCACGTATGCAAACAATATTTTGGTTAATTGGATTCACGTTTGGAAAATATAACCAAGCGGATTTTGGAAAAACACAATTTTCTCACTTCAAATCACAAACCAAATGCTTATTCACCACTGAAAACCTGGAAGCTATAGACAACTGTTTCGTTCTATCATGGGAATCCCAACAATATGCATCCACAACCCTGCATGCGGGAATTGAAACCAAGACCTTCGGTCTAGCGCGCAAACGCTTAACCTCTTGACTACTAAGCCGGCATCCAATGGTGTTAATGTCGACCGGAACACTACTCGATTTATTCCTGATTCTGATCAACAAAAAAAGATACATGAATAAATAGATGACTAATACAACCACAACGCATACACAGTTTGAAAAAATATAATTATTTCCCAATTAAATATTAGGGTATAAAATGTTATGTATAAATTACAATGATTTTATAGTAGAAAACAATACGCCAGCGAATCATGCATCAAACGAAAGCTTATGGTGTATGGAATAAACCGGGACCAAACTGAATGTTAGTACTTTGAATTAAGTGAAATAATGTCCAGAAAAATAGCTTCCGTTGTCTGTCATGACTTTTTCATTTTTCTTTTCACATCATCTTCCCCCTTGACGAAAAGGAAGTCTTAACTGTCATTTGTATGAGGGAAAACGGACTGGTGTTGTGATCCTTACAAAACGTGACCAACCTGGTTATTTCGAATATATAGAAAAAAGAAACAGCGACTAGTCATTAGTTAAAAATAAAGGCTAACATATCATCATTGATAAATCTCCTGCGAACGCTGTACGCTCTCCTTTTTGAGTCAATCTGGAGAAAACCTTATTTTATTTCTTTATTTATTTGAACATATAGATATTGGTACAAGGCGGCACCAGATACATATACGCCACACAAATCTCATTTGACTTGTGTGAAAGCTTTCATACTGCCCGGGTGCCCTAAACGAGCAGGTGGTTTTCTTAGGGGGCCACATCCGGATCCCTCGACCTAAAGGTCTGATCCACAAGGTAGTGGAGCATCGTAAGGAGACGCAGTCCCATGGTAGCCGGTGACCAACGATTGGTTCATACGCCATCTGTTCCCTCAGGATACTAGAGCCCATATGCACCATTGGTTTGGAATCAGGGTTTTCCAACTCTCCTATGTGGACTCTCCTTGTCCACTAACCCGGTTAAGGCACTGGACATTCGCTTTTCGTTTTCTAAATTTCGTAAACAACACCCCGCCACGAGAAGACAGTGAGTAGGACTTCCCTGGCAGAGGCTATATACTCGTGGCCATGTGAGAGCATTTCGAGAGGGAGAGCGAACTCTCTCCACTCTCGGCCGTACCAAGGAAAAAAGACCTGGTCTTTTCGGTTTCCGTAATAATCTCGTGGGACTCTGTTGTTGTTTTTCAACCGTCTGAGTAGCTGGACTTCCTATATCGAAACTGTCTAAGAAGATTTTCCACATCCAGCCCAGTTTTTAAGTTTTCTGTGACGTGCCAGAATGTCACGCCATGTGGTTGGCATGAAGTATCCATTCTTGATTGTCAACCCTCACCACATACATTGATTTCCCTCGTCGCTCAATTATGCATCTATTGGTGCTGTAGAGGTGAGTATCGGATGTCACGGACGTAAAATTCTTGATTGTTTTGAAATATCCTACGTTTTGCTCCATAATAGGGATTGAATTGAGTCTCCATATTTTGGTTTCTTCCTATCCCTTGATGCTTCGGTTTTATAGGATCGAGAACAGTTTTAATTTTGCTGGCAAACATTTCTGCTGGAGACATTTTATTCGGTGCTGACGGATTTTGAGTTGTTCTATAGACCAATAAAAAATCAAGAATTTCCTTTATCTTCCCCCCCACATTTTGCCTTCAGTAGTGCTCTTTTAAAGGTGTCCACAAATCTTTCAACTTGACCATTTGATTATAGATGATATGGGGGTGAACGAAAATGTTCTAGTCAAAATCTGCTGCCAAACCTTGAGATGGGGGAAGTAAACTACGTACCATTACCCAGCACAAGTATATCTGAGGTTTTAAAACGGCAAAATAACTTGTATTTTCATTATGGTGTCCTAAGGAGTGATTTGGTTCATGGTCAAAATCTCCGACCATATAGAGTAAACGTCGACGCAGATAATGAAATGGATAACTTGAAGTGGGCCAGGAAGATTAATGTTCTTTTGAAGATGACTAAGAATAGTGTTTCGTTTTAGGTGGATATTTAGAAACTGCAGTACATCTGCACACACGTTCTAACTCTGTTGTGTGCATCAATATCATACCAACATACCTAGCTTCGAGCAATAGCTTTCAGTCAGTAAGCTACAACGTTGGACCAGGCGCATATATGCATCGGTCCAAGTTGCCATACCTCATTAGCACAAGATGAACGCTGAATTCATAGAAGTAGTAATTCAGTGGTGGTAATATATAAAAGAAACATTACATATAAGGAAATAGCGCAGGAAGAAAGAATTAGTTCGTAGAAAAAAAGATATGAAATAATTTTAGTCTCATTGTTTAAGGGAAAACAAAGTGTATACACCTAAGCCATTATGATCGATTCCCAGCCATGCCATCCATAGTCTCCAACCAAGTAGTCTGCATCTACCAACATGGATCAGACTAGAAGTTAGTGACTTCAGCACTGATGCCACGTTTTGATTTGACCGCCCCTAACTTTCTTCCAACCATCCTCAACACTAGTCAGCATTTCGCGTCGTGGTAATCGATGTCCAGGCATACGCAGCACATGGCCCAACCATCTCAGTCGAGGAAGATTCACAACCTCATCAACTGATTTACCATCATTCCCTAATACCCTGTATCTAGTCTCACTATTACTCACCCTGTGATCCCAGCAATATTTCTAATGCATCAGTGATCAAATACTAGTAGCCTACAAGTGTCTTCCACTCTTAATGGTCACGTTTGGCAGCCGTAAAGAAAAATAGGACGAATTTCTGTGCAGTGTACTCATCCCTTAATTGATAGACGGATATCTCGCCTTCGCCATAGGTCAAGTATGTTGCATGAGATTCAACAATATTATGAGAACATAATACGTCGGAAGGACTTGATTTAAAACAAAAAGAAGTTCGGACAGATTCAAGGTATCAATCGTTTCAATCTAGCCTCTGCCAGGGAAGTCCTACTCACTGTCTTCTCGTGGCGGGGTGTTGTTTACGAAATTTAGAAAACGAAAAGCGAATGTCCAGTGCCTTAACCGGGTTAGTGGACAAGGAGAGTCCACATAGGAGAGTTGGAAAACCCTGATTCCAAACCAATGGTGCATATGGGCTCTAGTATCCTGAGGGAACAGATGGCGTATGAACCAATCGTTGGTCACCGGCTACCATGGGACTGCGTCTCCTTACGATGCTCCACTACCTTGTGGATCAGACCTTTAGGTCGAGGGATCCGGATGTGGCCCCCTAAGAAAACCACCTGCTCGTTTAGGGCACCCGGGCAGTATGACAGCTTTCACACAAATCTGATGAGATGACAATTATTTCACGGAATACTATGGTTGCTCCATTTAGAATTCAGGCATTTCACATTCACTTGATAACAATCATTTTTATTATTATCTTTATTATTATTATTATTATTACTATTTTTATATACTACGTCACTTATCCACCTCTATTATCACTTTATGTATCCCCACTTTTCAACTTATACAGCAGCTCGCCGATGGTGGAATCTGTGTTCTATCTAAACGTTCTCGATTCACTGCCTGTTCGAAAGTTGAGTGCTTCCACGGAATACGAATACTGAAACAGTCTTTCTGAAGCCACGTACATCATCCAAACTGGCTTCCTTCAACTTTCGCACACTAATAAAGATCGGATAA